TTCCATGATGTTCCATGGGATTCCATGGGGTTCCATGAGGTTCCATGGGATTCCATGAGGTTCCATGAGGTTCCATGATGTTCCATGAGGTGTGACTGGGTGGATTGTTATTGGCTGCAAGCCATGTCAGGATGACATCAAGGCCGGCTAGGGTCCACTGCTTTTGGCTGCAGTTATCAGCCAATATCCGGTGATGCATGAAGTGGAGGATAATCTGGAGCTTCTTGGCAGGTGATATGAGAACCCTTGACCGCCTAAATGGAGGTGTTTCTGTTACAATCAAAGGACAACCCGCAACAACACTGAACAAACAGGACTACGCAATGATATGAGAGGAGCCAAGGAACTGTAGTATCAATTGACTTGAGCAGTGGGCCGCGTTGGCAATACTCAGTATGATCATCACTCTCAGTGGAGCAACTCAAGCGACCTGAGCAGTGGGCTGCATTGGCAACACTTGGCACAAGTGGTATACTTGGTACAATCAGTATACTCAGTACAAGCAGTATACTTGGCATGGTCAGTGTAACGACGCAGGCCAGTAGGGAAGATGTCCAAAGTAAGTGTGAGTCCACTACGAGGCATATGGGAGTGCTGGGACATTGAGAACACTAGGATTGAATTCCCTACACCTATAGGTCTTGTACAAAAGGATACAGAAAAACTGCTCTATCTAACGACTGTGCCAAACTGATTAAGTACACAGTTTGGAGGGGAATTGGAACTACCCTTGTCCAGGTGACAAGGATGCAGTTTGCAACCGAAAAGGAGCAGTGTGCGGCAACCTGTAGGAATCACACCACTATTGGGGTGCTTTTGGTCGTAGGCGTTACAGTCAGTATACTCAACACAAGCAGTATACTTGGTACAATCAGTATACTCAGTACCAAGCAATCCAAGCAATCTGAGCAATCCTCTGCTCATGTATATAGCAAGTAGACACACTGCCCTTATAGCATTGTGTTCAACCTTGTCAATCAACTTTGTTATTGGAATCTCACTTGCTCTCAAGCCTGTAACGACACAGGTAAGAGAGGAACTCCGATATGGGTTTGAATCCGCTACAAGGTGTATGGGAGCACTGGGATAGATAGAACTAGGAGTAAACCTCTATTCCTATAGGTCTTGTACAAAAGGATACTCAAAAACTATCTACCATAACTATGTACACTGCCCTGCTTATATACCTAACAGTTCGATGTAGCTCGGGGGATACCGGTACATAGTAGGGTAGGGATTGGATAGGAGTCAAATAGCAATCGTGTGAGTAGTATGAGGAAGAACGGTTGGTATGGTTCTTACAAAGCCAGACAGTATACTCTGTACTACTCATTGCAACCAGTTGCCACGGTCTTTGACTAGATGACTACCTGACTATTACAAAGGTTATTACAACCCGCCTGGATAGTCTACCCCTGACCACCCAAGCTTAGCTTAGGTGACTGTCAACCCCTACGGCTTTCTGTACCTCTGCTCATCCCCAAGAACCAATCAACTAGTGTCTACAAGCTTTGCTTAAGGCACAAATCGCAACAAGCTGTCCCGCTACATAGCTCTTTAGAGCTACGTCTTGTAAATCTATCCTGCTACTACTGTCTTAAACACTGTTCTGTCCGGCTGCAACCCCGCCCCCTGACAGTTGCTCCATTTGATAAAGAGTCAGTCGGTGTGACGGTTAAGGAAGCATGTAACCCAGCTCTCAGAGACCTCATCACCAGCAATTTCAGTTGCAAAATTCTGGATCATTTGCCTTGTAGGAGGTAGATGTTGTTCTGTAAGACCTTTGATATATTTCACATGCTCCTCTTATTGTGGCGCAAGCTTGCATTGTGCAATGGCAGCTTCTTCATGTGGGCGTGTCTCACCCGTTGCATTGCGTGTCAAAGTTGAGCAAACAACACCATGCTTGTCAGCTATTTTTGACCATGGGATTTCTTCCTCAAAAGGTACTCTATCTACATCTGCAAGTGCTTTGTTGATACCTGTCATTGTTGTTGTGTTGTGTTGAGATGAAAAGGTGATGCATAACGCGTTGGGCGCATCCCGCGACTGCGCGCATCCCGTGCACGGACACGGTAGCGTGCCATCTGCTCGCCATGTCGCGCAGGGCGTCAGAGGTCAGGATGAGATCCTGCGACGGTTGTTCAAAGCGTTTTGCGATGTCGATGGACGATAAGACGCGAAAGGAGAGCTCTGGTGTAACTGCACAATCGCGCTCGTGGTAGATCCACGATCTGGTAAACCATCGGTTTTCAATGATTGACCGAAACAGCACCTCTGCTTCGGCCCAAAGTGGCCTAGGATCCGTGAATTGATCAAGATACAGTAGCCGACCTTCGGTCATGCGTAGTGAGTTAAGCTCTGTCAAATCCTGGAGGCTTCGAAGCACTGATGTGCCCTCAATGCAGAAGGTCAATACAATCAGGGCATATCGGCTGAGCGCGTATATCAAATGCATATGACGTAGGTGGTTCTAAATACCTTACAGATCGTTCTGATAGATCCACAAAGCTAGTATGTTCTTCGATATAGCGTACTGTACTGCACGGTATACCACATGGTCCAGTCCGAGACTCGTGAAGATATCCTTGTCTTTAGTAAGCTCGGCCAAATAGTAATGGGGTACCCATAGTTTTCCAAGGGGGATGAGAGGGAGGATGTGCACGTGAGTCCTCTTCAAGTATCCACTCTACTAGAAATTGCTCTTGTTCCGGAGTCAGTTGCTGTGGTTGTTGATGTGCTATTGCGTTGGGTTGACAACCGTTGATGCGCTCTTGGAGGGTTGATTGGGGAACACCATAGGCCTCAGCAGCCTTCTACTGACTTGCAAAAACACGAACATTAAGATTGCTGATAGCAGATTGTATTGCAACTTCACGGGCATCCATTTTGAGTAGGTGGTGTTGATAATATAGCACGTTGAATGATATGTGACGCGTTGTGGTGTGGCCAATAACTATGTGTTGCAGTAGTTGCAATGAATGAAGGTGTAACCGCGCAAGGCAGTAAGTCAGGGCGAAACCGCGCGAAGCAGTAGAACCAGTATATTGTGTTGTTCTCGTTGTTCTGTGATTGCCTCTCACCGGGCCATCAGGGTCTGTTTACGTGACGTATCTGTCGTTCAGACAGAGGTAGAAAGTGTCTGTTGGAAAGAGAAAGAACACTGCACCAAAACACGTGGCACACATGACCTCTTTACTCCATAAACCATCACAATATGTGGCCGAACACTATATGGCCGAGCTTATGTTCTCAGGGATGTCGCCCGATCACTCCCAAGTGTAAGAAACTGCGACATACCAGCAGTCTGCTGGGGCCAATGCGGTACGCCTCAGGCGCATTGCACCGTGCTCTACTTCAGTTTACACGCGCCTGCCTAGAAGTCAGCGCTTGCATCACTTGGCTGCAGCATGCAACACATCCTGAGAAGACTGCGTGCTCATGGGCATGTCAAGACAGAAGATGCAGGTGAAACAATGCAGGGGAAATATTTCAGAAAAATCCACGTATAGGAGAAGAAAGGGGAGCAAAGCATTGGTGCTGTTCCTTGGAAGTCGTTTACAGTGACAAGCACATTCACAAAGGACATTTATATGAGATGCCATACATGTTAGTGTATCGTATCATTGTGCTGTACACTAGTGACTGCGTAGATGCTGTCGAATCGAGAACACCGAAACTCCGTCCCAATGTCGAGATACCATAACGCCTCATCGTAATGCGTCTTGTACCGTCGCGCTCCCTTCGACCACCAACATACACACAATTTACTTCTGCGACGGGTTGGGGCTGATCGTGCCCTCGGGAAATTTGCGGAAGAGATCGGCGATGTGGTCAAAGATGGCGACTGGCAGACCAGCGGGGCCCTCGATGTACGGGTTCTCACCGGCAGCTGGGTGAGACCTTGATGGAACGAACATCTTGGTCCTGGAGAAGCTCTTGGCCAAGCTCTCAGAGCTGCCGTGGTTCTTCTCTGAGGTCAGAGCCTTCTCGAGTGCGGGCAGATCGTCACTCTCCTCCTCTTTGATGTGATGCTCGAGGTGCTCGTACAGCTTCTTCAGCTGGGGAACGTATTCGGCATCCTGGGCGCTCATGTTCTGGAATGTCTTAAGGAGCTCCTTGAGCTACCTGGTGTTAGGACATGTCAAGAGAAAGAATATTGGACTCTGGCTTACCGTGTGGTGATGCTTACGATCCTTCTCAGCATGTGCCTTGCCCTCCTCGCCCATATACTTCTCCATGGCCGGGTAGACGATCAGCTCCTCGGCCACTGAATGACGAGCAAGCTCCCAGGTGAATTGGTTGCCATAACGCGTCTGGTGATCGACGTCCTTGGAGTTGACAATCTCCTTATAGTACTTCTCGAGATCGCGGTGATCGCTGGTGATAGCTTCGGTCAAGGCTGGTGCATGCAAAATCTGAGAAGTCGCAAATGCACGGCTGTTGATCGAGGCTCCAGCTGCCTGAGGCCTGAAGGCAGCCCTGGCAATAGGCGAGACGAAGGTACGAGCGGAAAACATGATAAATTGGTCAGTACGGTAGGTGTGGTAGAGTTTGGCGAATGGTTATGCTTGTGTTTGGTATTGGTAAGAGGCTCTGCCTTCTACAAGCTCATCTTTATTGGCAGGCATTGTCACTCGAGCTCTACGTCATGCTCTCGCAACATGTACGACGTTGGTTCAGCACAGTCCATGCCTTCTCTCCTCGCAGGTACAAACATCGCAAGCTCGATGCAAGCTCCTGCCAGGGTTCAGTTTGCTGACTTTCTTCCCAGTCTGATTGGCTGGAATATTGCCCATTGCTGACAATCGTGATGCTCCAGGGGCTCGTCAAGGTGGAGCCCCTCGAAATGCAGCCTATTGGACGACGTCATTGTTACACTCCATCGCTTACGATCCACCATGTTCACCGCAACACGCCAAACACAAAACCCATCCCTCGGCACGCATCCGCGGGCTACAGACACCGACCCAATAGAATGGAATTGTTGTAGAGTATCATCCAGGATGCGGCCAGGATAGGAAGGCGTTCACCCTGTATGCTCCCAAAGCAGACATGCAGCAGTGGATACAGCAAGGCATCATCCACTCACCTTGCAGCTATCAACACGCTATCTCATAGCTGTCACGCGCGTGCCACGTGAACGCGCCGAGCTTGGTGTTTAACCCCTCAACTCCACGCGTCAACAGTATGTCACTTTGACAGCTATGCAGCAACAAGGGACCCGTCATGTACTCGACATGGCCCTTAGTATGCTCCCCGCGCCCTCTTTAAGCTCCCTCGAGGCCCACGATGGAGATTTCGTCCAATTTGCCCCAGAAACTCAAAGCAGCCATGGCACCTTCCAGCACCAGCGCCAACACCAACCAAAACGACCCTCTGCAGCACCCACTGCAAGCTACAGCTATGGCAATTCAGGGTGCTGTTCAGGGTGAAGGTCGTGCCCCTCGCATGAGCCACATGGCTAGCGCCAATGAGGGTCCTGCGGACATCATTGCTAAGGTTTCTGGAGCTGTTCAGGGTGGAAAGCGTGAAGATGATGGTGCTTACTTCACCAACAACGAGGGCATTCCCTTCCCCGACCCGTGAGTTGTGCGATGTTGGTCAATGGCCAGAGAACCTCAACTGACCTCGCACAGAGCACACAGCAAGACCATTGGCGGTATCCCGGTAGCCAGCGATGTCTTCTTGTTTCAAAAGCAGCAACACTTCAACCGGTCGAAGCAGCTAGAGCGCATGGTTCACCCCTGTGGATCTGGAGCTTTTGGATACTTCGAGTGCACAAAGGATGTCTCTTCTCTCACAGTAAGTAATCCACTGTGAAATGTCAAGAGTGAATGCTGACAGACGTTCAGAAAGCCAACTTCTTGTCAAGTGTCGGTGAGAAGACTCCCATCTTCATTCGGTTTTCTACCGTCACACCCGGACGTGAGTTCCCTGATGAGGCCCGTAACCCGCGTGGTTTCGCCATTAAATTTTACACCATGGAGGGCAACTACGACATTGTCGGTTTGAACTTCGTAAGTCTGTCTTAACTATTTGAAGGCGATCTTGCTAACTATGCAGCCCATCTTCTTCTGCCGAGACCCCATCCAGGGACCTGATGTCATTCGATCCCAGTACCGCAACCCCAAGAACTTCCTGTTCGACTACGATGGCATCTTCGACTTGCTTGCTTGCACGCCCGAAGGCAACCACGCCGGTCTCATGTTCTTTAGTGACCACGGTACTCCCCAGGGATGGCGCTTCAACCATGGATACGGCTGCCACACCTTCAAGTGGGTCAACGCTGAGGGTAAGTTCGTCTACATCAAGTACCACTTCATCGCCAAGCACGGTCAGAAGCAGTTCACACAAGAGCAAGCCACACAAATGTGTGGTGAGGACCCTGATTACTCGAAGCGTGATCTCTGGGAGACCATCGAGAGGGGCGAGGAGGTCGAGTGGACTGCCAAGGTTCAGGTCATGGAGGCTGAGGATGCCGACCCAGACAAGCTTGGCTTCGACCCCTTCGATGTCACCAAGGTCTGGCCTAGGTCGCAGTTCCCCATGCAGGAGTTCGGTCGCCTTGTTCTGAATAAGAACCCTGAGAACTTCCAGCGTGACGTTGAATCAGCCGCCTTCTCACCCGGCAGCATGGTCCCCGGTATTGAGGATTCGCCCGACCCACTTCTGCAGTTCCGCATGTTCTTCTATCGCGACGCTCAGTACCACCGTATTGGTGTCAACCTGCACCAGGTCCCTGTCAACTGCCCGTTCATGGCTAAATCCTACGCAACTCTGAACTTCGATGGAACGATGCGTGTCGACGCTAACCACGCCGGCAACAAGCAATACGCACCCAACAGCTTCGCACACAAGTTCAGGCCAGACGTCGCCGAGGCACCATATCAGGTCTCTGATAACGTCATGAGCCGCAAGAGCCACTATTGGCACGAGGGCAAGAAGAACGACTACGCACAAGCCACAGAGCTCTGGTCGCGTGTCATGACCGAGGAGCAGAGGAAGAACACCATAAAGAACACTGGTAACATGTTGAAATTCGTTACATACCCTATCATTCAGGTAAGCTTTCCTCATCCCTATCATGCCTAATGCAATGCTAACACCCACGTAGAAGAAATACCTCGCACAAGTGTACAACATTGCGCCCGACTACGCCCAGGGCATCTACGATTTCCTTCCCAAGAAGGAGTTCGCGTTCTCCGAGGTCGAGGAGCTTGCCGTTGATGCGCACCTCTGGTACAAGGAGAAGAAGTTCCGTCCCAGCAATGGCGAGAAGCTGGTCGGCTATACCCCGCCTATGCCCATTTACAACTAGATTCTGGAAGTCTACCGTGATACCGCATGAATCAATGAACCAATCTAATATGAATGCCCACTCGATCTCCTCCCCTTCTTGTGTCGATCTCTTCTGTGGCCGTTGGAGGTATCGTGGATATGATCCTGGTACTAACAGAAAGCAGTCAGCAGTCAGTCTTGTCGAAACCGTAGTGAAGCTGCTGATACCTTTGACCCGAAAGAGCGGCGGTAATGGCTCAAGCCTTTCTCATTGCTGCTTCTTTCTTCTTTTTATCGATTTTGTACAACTTGTATCCGATGCCAATAACCGCAAGGACCAAGCCGGTGCAGGGCTCTCCCCCAGACCACTGAGCTGCCGATAGGCCTGCCCCTACAAACTGTCCTCCAAGCTCGTCGAAGCTGGCCATGTTTGGTGGTGTCTAATTCGTGTTGGTAAGTTGACGCTGGTTCTGTGATAAGTGGCGGAGAAGGAGATGAGGGTTGTCTTGCTTATCGTCAGTCTGTTACAGTCAAAGGGTCTTCAAATAGGCTTCCGAAGGTTGCCAAGTAGGGCGGTGCTCTACGGTGCCCGTCAACAGGTATTGTCTGACAGCGCAAGGCAGACTGGACTTAGTCGGCATTTGCCTGGTGTGTCTCGGATGAGGTGCTGGGAACAGGTCTCAGGCTTTGTGGAGTGGTTGTGGAGGAAGCTGAGTCAGCTGTGCTAGGATGAGCAATCATCTTTTGTTCTGGCCACATCAAGCCCTGAGGTCAACAATGTCACATCAGCAATATAACATAATCGTGCTGACCGTAATGGAACGACGTTCCTGAGGTTATAGGGCATTCAAAGAGGCGCAGTCCTGAGTTCCTTGTGGGCCAAGGGCGTTACTATAGTCGGTCATTGTGGGTCCTTGTCATGCAAGGTCAGCCCAGCGCTGTGAGCGTACTGAATCCACCTCGGCTCCTGATTACAACAACCACTGGATATCATCGATTTTTGGTGCGATAGTTCTGAGGGACATCAGATTTGGAAGCATCAGCTTGAAGGCTTGCACTGGTTCGGATGGCCATGGTCTTGCACTGTACGGCCCTTCATCATTACTGGTAGGCAACGGAGACATTCGCCTCACAAGGCCACAATGCCAACTGCAAACAAAATCAGAGGGTGTCACCTATGTTTTACTTCTCATCCAATTCCTTCCCAGTCTCACCACGCCCTTTCGAATTCAAACCTAGCAGCCCTAGATTGCTTGAATCACGAAGACTGCCTTACGATAAAGATAGGTCCATGGAATACGATAACAAGAAGTTCATGGACTTGATTACATAGTGGTCATAGCCCCGTTCAAAGGGGTTGAAGCTGAAAGTGGCTCATGCAAGATGTTGAGGGAAAGCTCGAAGTCAAAGTAGTTGACATGCCGAGCAACGAGGCAGATTGGATCAGCTCCAACATGCTGCGTTATCATCAAATGCAACACTCGATGTTCGTAGTTGGTTGGCAGTCTTGCTGGAGTGTTTCAGCTGCATCGGTCGAGCGAGGCTGAGCAGTATTTTGTCTCGCAACGAAGCAGAAGATGGTACCCGCCCTTCAGCCGTAGTAATCTCCAAGGCTGAAATATTCATAAACCTGATATTAAGAAGTTTGTGTTCACTTGTGTGGGTCATGTTTGCGGTTGAGAGGCAAATACTGAGTGCGTTGTGACAATTGCAGCCCAGCCTCGAATCAAGTTGGACGGCAGCTTATCGAGCAGGATACTGGACGAAGATGTCTTTAAAGCGCATTCGACATTTGCCCGAGTTCTGCGAGATTCAGCCTCACTGGTGTGGCACTCGCGGTGATTCGGCTGTCCCTTCGTTAACAGTTATCTATATGTGTGAAGCTCAACTTCCACAAGGCACGTCCGGCATTGCTTTGAAATAAATCATGTACAACACGAAGTCTTCCTGCAAGGCATTTTGCTGTGATGTCAGCCTGACGACCACTGACCGGAAGGTCAAAATTGTACCTGGAATCCAATACTACTTAGATGGTGATCGAAGTCCGAACAATGGCCCAATAGTGATCGCCTCGTAAGGATTACCGGTGAGCGGAGGCAAGCTTCATGGGTGACACATGGCCCCAAAGCTCATACTCCGATGATACTCGAATGATCAATTTGGCCTGTGAGCATCGCGTCAGCATCAATCAGATTGTAGTCGATTGAGGAAGGAGGTCGAACTAGATGTGTCGACGCAACTTAGTGGTGGTGCCTGTATGAAGTACGTAGTCGCTGATGTTGTTGCCGTGTCTGTCTATCTTTACCTAGTTGTCATTACTTTGAACTCCAAGCACTTCAAGACACTACGAGAGTTCTGAAAGTAAGCGCAGACACAGCCATCCTCATATGCTTGCGATAGGCCTCGTGACCGACAGTTGCAAGTATAAGCACCCTGGCCCGCACACCAGGTCAACCTCAGGAAACAGCACGGGTGCGGTACGAGCCTCAAGCGGCGCCTTGAACGCTTGAACCCACCTTCTAGAAACAGCAAGACCAACAACAACACATCAACTCTCCCACCCAACCGGTATGGCATAATCGGCACCGCTAACGCGCCGCACGAAGCCACCACGTTCGGCGACCACCCACGTGCCCGCGCGGCTCGTAACGCGCCTGCACGACGCCAACACCAGTCCATGACGCGTGCTATGGGATTTTCCCCGTTTCCATCGCGATCTGGAGAAGGGGCGGATTCACAATGCCTCGAAGAGGAAACTGCTTAGTGTTGCGGGACGGAGATATTTCCTGCTGTTTTGCAAGGTTCAGGGTCCAAGGGCCCGTCCACGATATGAGACAAGCTTCACGGGGCTTCACACCTCGCGTTCGTATTGTCGCGGTACCATTGGTTCGCCGAGGGGTTTCTGAGCCAATGGGATTGGAAGTTTGTATGACGTAAGAGAGAGCCCGTGATTGGTAGGGAAAAGCATCCCCGGTTGTTCCAGCGGTGCAAAGTGATTGGCGTAATTTTCCTCCTGGCTCTGCTTGCGTGCGATTCGCTGGCGGTATTTCAGACGCATGGCCTGCTAGCTTGCATATCAGAATGAAGGCAAAGGGTTCTGGAACGCACTACAACTGCCGTAACTGCACGATACGAGCAGTGCATCTATTGTCTGTTACATGTGCGAGCTACGTATACGCCCACCGTGAGTAGTCTGGGTAGACAGGGCACAGTGTGGCTGGCTTCCAGAAGCCCTCATTAGACGTTGTACTGCAACAAAAAATTTGGAGGCAAACACCACGCTCCGAGCATTCTGCGAGAGAACACTCGGTGCTCGCAGTTCGCGTCCACCGGACCGAAGCAGTACCAAATAGTATCAGAAACCGTTGATCTTACACAGCCCCCCGCTAGCGCCCGCCGTTTGCAACTGGCCCTCCCAACTACGAACGTGGTTCCAGTGCTGTCACCGTGTCACTGGCGTGCTCTGATTCGCTCAACCACAGTCCACAGCCATTCGCACCACCACTGCAGATCAGCTATCGTTCGCGTCTCAAAGCGCGCTCATTGGACACCAACATCTACATCACCCTTACCAACCTCCTCTTTCAGATTCCACTCGCACCACTCCTCCAGACCCTTTGTCCAAATTGACGAACCCCGCAATCACAGATGCTACTGCAGCGACGAGCGCCATCCTAGCCCTACCAGTGACGCACGACCTGGATTGAGTTTTGCTCCGCAGCCAGTGCGGCCTATAGCGCGCGCAATGGCAAACATTGCCGGCAGTTCTTGATGTTCGCCTCTTGATTCCCATCAACGTTTTTATGGGATTTAGGCATCAGCCGTGTGGAAAATTACGTCACGCGCGCTGGTTCGGAGGGTGATCTGTGGTCTGACGTTGCGCCTCTCCACTGTTTTCATCGTGTCGGCCTTGATAGCCGAGGGAGGCCCTGGTTGCGTAACCTGAGGATTTTGGCAGGTGGGATGAAAGATTCGGTGCCTGAGCCTACGCGTATCTGTTGGGTCTTGTGGAGTGAGCTGATTACATCAAGGTAAGTACCTTGAAGGTGACTGTGGGGTCAGGTATTGATGCAGCGGGACGTCGATGCGAGTTCTTGTGGAATGAGACTGTTGCTGTAGCAAAGTCACCTGTGGGGAGATGGGCAGTCACGAAGGCCATCACCAATGTCGCGGAGTAGGCTGAGTTGGTGATCATAATCGCTCATATTTAGTGTTGTTATATCGTACTCATCCGCATCGTACTAAACGTCATTTCCTTGCAGTTGCTTTTGTTTCGCTAAGCCTTGAATGCAACGCCTCATAGAAGAAAAAATACAGGAAGAGAAGACAAAAGGCACAAGTGATCGTCCACTATGCGACCACGGCCGGGGTATCATGAAGAGTTGCCGAAGATAGAACGCCAAAGATCAAATGCATCGTGCCATGAAGCACGATCAATCAAATCATTGCTGAACGTCCAAGTCATCTTCGTAATCCTTGAGAAGCTCGAGACCACCAAAGCCATCGACGTCAGGGGTTGCGCTCATACTGCCTAAACTAGGCACGGACTCGTTGCTGTTTTCGCGCGGTCGCATTTGGTGTATTGAGGGTGATGCGTGGTGCTGCAGAGAATTTGTGCGCGACGCACTGGGTGCCTCCATGCCAAGTAGGTCTCCTGCACATCGAGCAAGGTACTCGTCGACTGCCCAGAAGCCACAACCAGCATGGCGCAGTACCTCGTTCTTGAGGCTGAGAACTTCTTCTCTGAGGATGGCAACACTTTCCTTCAAGGCCTTATTCTTGGCGGAGAACTCGCGGGCACGACCCTCGAGGCCACCGATGTATTCCTTCTTGCGCTGGCGGCACTTATGCGCGGCGACTCGGTTCTTCTCGAGGTGTGACTGGCGAGCAGATGACACCTGGAAGGGGAACCCGTCCGCAGTGTAGGCCTCGACCATCTGAGGCTGCGACTTTGGTCGTCCACGCTTGCGCTTGGGAGGCTGTGGGTTGGCAGTTGCGTCGTCGTCCTGTTGTGTTGATGCATTGGCCTGAGCTTGGTTGGAGGCAGATTGTCTGCTGGTACGTCGGCGCTTCAGGGACGGCTGGCTGTCCTCGGGCGTCGATTGCAGCTGTTGAGAATCCTGTGGGGGTGACTGTAGGTACTCTGCGCTGTTCGTGGGCCAGAGGGACTCGTTCATGAGCTCCTCGACAGGGATGGAGCCTTCCCTGACAATGCGGGCTGAGTCTGCTGGTGAACGCTCCTCGGGTGGAGTGATCTGTCCAAAACGTGCGGTCGAATGGGTCAAAAGAGCTGGAGGGATGGTGAATGCTGTGGTGGTGTTCATGGGTCCAGAGCTGCTACCGAAAGCTGTCCACTTATTCTGGTGTTTTGAGGCGTCGCTGAAAGCGGCGTAGGCATCGTTGGCCCAGTCGAAAGACTGCGGTTGCTGAACCTCCATCCTGGTAAAAATCCAGAACTGTGAAAGCTGACGAATGAATCGCCTGGCGGAACACTGTTGGCGAAGAGACAGCGCCGGCGAGATGCAAAGACTGGGTCAAGTAGCGGTTGTTTGTTTGGGTGACAGCTGTCTGGTGACAGATAGTCGGAATACAGGGCTATATGTGGCAAGCAGCGAAGTGAATTACCGTTCAATTGCGCAAAAGAGGAGGGATGGGGAGGTAGAGTTAAACACGCAGAGGAGGGGTTAAGAAGGAGCAGGGTGGTCAGGCGGTAGGAGCTACTTAGGCGGACAAAACATGGGAATCCAGCATTGGGGACTTACTTCCGAGATCGAGTTCCTCAGCTTTCGCATGCAAGGCGCTATATCTGGCAGGCTACGCTAGCAAGAGCTGCGATTGGGCAAGCGCTCCCTGGCGCCATGCTTGACGTCAGTCGGCTGTCCGGATCGGCGATCCCCATAGTACTGCGGCAGGGTATTCTCGCTGGCTTGCAAAGTGGCTTTTTGATTTCTCGACCAACACTGGCATCACGGCGCTTGTTCCTGCACCCTGGCGTTCCAAACCGCCCGAATGACACCCCTCGTGCTGCCCAATAATATCTTCTTTGACGGCAAGTTCAGCCACCAATCAGTATGACAATGGAACTCTTCTCCCCTCTCTACCTCACGGAATATGGAAGCTGTGTCTATTCGCCTGGGGATTTATCCCGCGGACCACTAGCATCAACTGCCACGCCAAACCGCGGTCCGCATCCCCACTCAGTTGAGCTCTTTGGCGAGGCGCACATGAACGCATCGCTGAACGAGAAGTGGACGCTGCGACAGCGGCTCCCTTTTAGATAGTGCGATGTGCCGGGTGAGACTGATTCTCGAAGGGGCGATCGCCCGCTACTTACTGAGTCTCGTATTGTGCATGCCCCTGGTGCGGCAGATGTTGAGATTCACTGCCGACTGTACCCCCTTGAGCGCTTCTGAATTCAACGCAGATCGTTCGCTGTCGGAAAGACCTTTGAGCCACCGGTATCAACACCTTACAAATCAGGCCGCCCACACTTGCTTTCAACTCGTGCGGTATGCTGGCGTTTGCAGAGGTCTAGATGCTCTGCAAGACAGACGTGGCCCGTAGCTCCTTTGCAGCAGTCTACTAACCCCCAATAATTGCGGCTAAGGTCGAATCGGGCTAAGTTCAGTCCGTCAGGAACGCAACCAAAGATATGACGTGACCTGCATACGCCGAGAGATCGGCCAGGAGAAATCTGGGGCTTGTACCCGTGCCACAATTCAACCCTTTGCTCGTCTCAGGACGCTCGAGTCGACAGCTGAAAAGGTGACCAGACGTTGCAATGACCGCCTTGCTGGAGTGGCTCAGCATGGCCTGAGTCTTGCGTGGTAATATGTCAGTTCGACGAGTTGCATCTTGCCACAGTCCCGGCCTACTCGTCACCAGGAGGTGCGGCTCTGTGCTTGACACGGCAGCGATAACAGCTGTTCACCGACTCGTGTACGCTACGCTTCATCTCTCCTATCAGCGTGGGATGCCTTGAACCGAAGCATGGGTGACTGCAGCAGACCCCAGTTGTGCATTGCCGCTGTCTCCCTGGAAGTGCCGATCTGCACTCAACATTTCGATCATGCCATCGTCGAAAACTTGCAAAATGCCATGATCCCATTTTGAAGAATTGCATGTGCATCCGTGCGAGAATCTCTCACATCATAACTGTGGGTCCCGTTAGAACGGTAGGAACGCCGATAAACGTTACCTGCGGGTCCTTCTTTGCCTCATGAACATGGTGGGTATTTATCCCGCCGCCTATGAGAGCAATCCGCTGTACGGCGTCGCATTCTGCGCGCTCGACGTGCAGCGACGAAGGCAGGGTCTTCGTGCGCTGAGCCGGCGCAAGTCGTTGGATAGTACTGCTCGAAAGGCGCCTCGACATTCACAGCTTCCCAACACGCCTTTCACTCCAGAACTGGAGCTGATGCAAACTTTTGGTAAGTAATTGACCCCTACAGCTACAGGTCGAACCTTGTCAGGGTACACTCACGGTGAAATCTACACCTAGCGTTGTACATCACCAAAATGTTCGATGGGGAGAAAGTTCGGAATTTTCGGCGTCTTGTCCCAAAACGCGCACAGTCCGGCTTACTCAAAACGTAAGCTCCACCAGACTCGAATCAGAAACCTGCATTCTGTAGATTCGCCACTGTTCAACCGATTTGTCACTGCTCCGTGTGGATCAGCCTGCAACACGCATCACACCGATTTTCTTCTAAATCGACGATCCCAATACTCCTAATCGACAAACAATATCTTGCTCGGTTCACATCCGAGACGACCGCATCCTGATGCTTCACACCTTCCGCGGCTCACCCGGATATCCCCATTCAGATAATCTGCGACATTGCTGGTCCCCACTTCACGTGTTCGAGTGCTCAAGCTCTATCCGGCACGAACATTCATTGCCTAATCTCGTGTATTGGGAGCATGCCCTACCGCTCTGCGCCTAATCTGTAGGCATGATATGATCTTGCAGCGTCCCTCCATATGGTGAAGCAATTCCCGAGGAATTGTGATCGCTGGCGAGCAATATGCCCTGAGAGCGCATGCTGTCGACAGGCTCTTTCATAAGGCTGACAAGCTGAAGCTGCAGATTTTACAAAAATCCGGCACTCTTGGGCAACGGTTGGCAACTAGCATGTCATGGTCATGGTCCTTGGCTGGTACCGTACCCATTCTACCGGCGGAGTGCTTGCTGCCTGGCTGAACAAAAGGATTCTGGTTTCAATGGCCTGAATAGCTATTATACGCCATCGTTGTGCAGCGACTACATCGCAGGTTCAATTTAACACTGTCCGACTTACACATGTGCTTGCTATGACACTGGCCCGACTTGTCTATTATACCAAGGCAGGCGACTGATGTATACGCGATTAGTGGAAAAGGCCACAATCACAACTCAATTCGCCATTATGAGCCTTCAGGCAACTTGAACACAGGCTTACGTGTCCCTCACGGGAATGCTGCGCCCATACTCCTTCTTTACAAGCAATCGCACTGTCTGACATCTAAATCACCTATACCCTCATCACTGTTCGGCACACTACTCGATGCACAGTGATGATTGGTGGCATACATTTGCACAGGTATCAACACATCTTCCTAAATCCTCCCCGTTTCAGTAATTCGAAGTCAGAGGAATTTTTCATCGGCCGGGACGTTTTTCAGCCGTTGATTGATTGATTGGTTCAACGTCCTATGTGCATCTGATACTATGGAGGATGAGAGGTGCTACTGTACCTCTGGTAATGCAAGGGTTTAGTTACAAGGGGTTGAGTTCTATGAAAGTACAAGAGATAGTGAGGGTCTAAGCCCTAAAGATGAGTGAGCTACGGGTAGCTCACATCAAGGTGTAGGAGATAGGTGTAGGAGATAGGTGTAGGAGGATAGCAATGCCAGAAGGTTAGTATTTGGTGTTGTAGAAGGGCTCTGAGGGAGCTCCTGTAGTCGATATGGCAGCTCAACAGAATGCAGTTGGCGGGACGTTTTTCAGCCGTGTTCGGCAGTCTTTCGGCTCACACAGTTTTCTAGTACTTCTTTTAGTATCTTGAAATCTTGGTGCAACGCTTACTGGTCGGCACACTCTACCTTTTACGTCGAGAAATTCGACATTGTTCGCTTCCCTGGGTTACTAGCGGTCGTCACCCGAAGCAGATCCACCGAACTTTGAGGCAAGTTGTCGCATCACCCAAATTCTACTCGATTTGCCTCTTTCACCGCTTCAATCCCCATCGCAATAATGCGCCAAGTACACTTCGCCTTTGATGTCAACAGGCTGCCACTCTGCAGCTCCTTTATGTTCAGTCCCCACTTGGGCAATCTGAGACGCTACGGGGACTGGTCGGGATGTTGGCTCCAGTGCATGGAAGGAAGAAAGAGAGGAACGGAGTCTCGATCGCGAGGGTCTTTTTACAACGTGTCCTCTTTGTATAGAATGCGTGTGCCCTTACGGAAGTCTTGCAAGTTCTGCAGGCAGGAACCGTAGGCCTTAGTAAGAGCGTTGCACGAGGAGAGGTGGTTACAAGTTAAAAGTGACGACAGTTTTGATATTTTGACACAGAGACTTTGTTCCAACAAGCGTGGGGGGAAGACACTGCACTGATAGGCTTCAGGAACTATTGCGCTGCTGAAAGACACTCTGAGATTTCACCCTCCATTCCTCCGCAGACACGCCTGCCATTAAATCGCATACAGCTAGAACACGATCTCAGCGGTTAATTGTTGACCGCTTGAAAGGAAGAAGACATTGTGTTTCCGCCACCTACGAAGTCAATCACTCAAACCCCAAGAAATACTGACCGGCCACCCCAGTGTCTAGCATCAAGGGCTCATGTCTCTTTTTACCCCATACTGTACGCTGTATCACCTTTCAATGCTGGAAGAGGTCTTTGATATCTATGCAGCTATGTACATTGTTTCTCGGAAGCATGCATGCGCCGCGTTCTTCCTATACAATGTTTGCGGAAGTGTTCTGCACGCCCAATCATACTCGGCCCTCCTTTATGGCAAATTCAGCCATAACCGATTATATCCTTGAATCCCAACTCTTTGTCTTACATTTACACAAAGAATTCGCGATATACTGCTTTTTACTCACGATGGTCACAACGATGTACCAGTTGCAGTAGTTCATGCACTCGGTTGATGTACAAATTATGAGAGCAACTTATGCCGCTCATTCTCTATCTAACCATCCCAGGTATCGAAGTTCCTCGCACAGCCATGGACCGTACTTCTACAACTTGTTCTTCGTACCCCGCAAAATATCACCCCATCTCCGCACCACCACCAATATCACAGAAACCCCGCCGCGTGACACCTCGCTTGTGGCACTGCATGCTGCATGTGCATACACGTTGAGGCACGTTTGTGGGCGGCTACAACTTCTGGGAACATGGGGGATGTGATTGGCCGGGGAAAGGTTCCCCGGCGGGGATGGGGTTGTAAGTGCAGAGGTGAGAACGATTGAAATCACCGTTGTGCCGCGAATTAGCGCATTTCGTCTTGGTGCTTGTTGAACACTACACTATACTGCCCTATTTGATCTTTGAGAGGCATTGCTGGGCTGGCGATACGATTCCTTACGGCGCGATGTGATTTTTTTGCAGCCTGCGCACCCATCTGCCAAGGCGACTCGTCTACCGGACACTGTCGAGCGAAGACGGACGAACCCAGTGAGAGGGGCAAAGAGGGCCACAATGCCGTTTCTACAATCACTGTATCGCGTTCTGACGTTCTGGCGACTGGAGCACCAGTGTGAGGTCAGTAAAAGCGTCTAGCCAGGGATGTGAAAGCTGATGTTTCCCAGAAACAACTAGAAGAGTTCGATCCAGCGTTCTCGAAGTTCGTATTCTATCAGAATCTAACGCCGAACGAGGTATGCAAGCCCCAGAACTTCCCAGGTGGATCACCGGATAGCATGGTAGTATGAAGGGAGCTGACATTGTAAAAGAGTATGTCGAGTTTCGGTCGGCCGTCTTGTCAGAGTGTGCGAAATTAAAGAAACTGTCACGGTTTAGACTACGCAAGGAGAAGCCGACTATATACTGGCCCTGGAAGTCGCTATTCCAGAACAGTATATACCAGGGTAATAGGGTCTCAACCGAGACCACAACATATTTAGACACACAGAATAGTGCAATACAACCTCAGTTCAATCCTTCAATTCTTTCCACATGCGTACGGATCACTCACAATCCACCGCCACAGAAAGGCTATGTATGAGTTTACTGCTATGACCAGATCACTGGCGCTTGTGCATACAGCCATCATCTCCATTTTCCACAGTCTTTACTTCTGTACCGCGTAGTCAGCGGCGGAAGGACAACAGCTTCATACAATAGTAGCAAAATCAAGCGTGCCAAATATCATAGCTTTTACATGGTTTGGCTAAATGCTTCAGTCAGGCTTTTGCCTTGAACAAAGACTTAACAGGGTCGTTAGATCTGTACGTAGTAGAACACTTCCAAGTAACAGCGAGAGACATTCCCTTGATAATGGGCAGGATGCCAAAGACGCTTGTTCAAGACTGAAGATTCAGTCGCAATGCCAGCAAGTACTCACTAGGATAATAGTTGCACGGTCTAGTTCGCGGTTTTCAGCGCTCCAACGACTTCCATTTACAACCTGACATCAACAAGAAGAGAGTATATACACCATTCAATCACCCAATCACCCAAACCTTCAACCCCTATCAATCTCCCACCTCTTTACCCATTCCCAACAAGCCCCTTGTAGTCCTCGCGCCACCACCAGATCCGCAGAGTCCTTAGCAAACGTTGATATCAGCATCTGTGTAAATACACGCCGAGCTAGGACCCGAGCTGACCTCCTTCGGCTCGTTGCCCGGGCTCGTACCCTCGAACTCCTGGCAGATAACGTCTGTGCCGGTGATGCAGGAGTTCGTAATCGTCGCGGTGTCGCCGAAGTTAGAGTTGATGCCGACGAGTGTTGCAGTGCCTCCGGATGCTGTGACTCCGTCGATTTTGACGTGGCGCTCGCCTTGCTGGGAATTGTTAGTGGATTGCTCTGCACGTATGGGAATGAGGGAGAGGGAGTGGGGGGCTTACAGTCTTGCAGTTACCGCACGAGCGGTACAGCTTGCCGAAATCCTCAACGTAGAAGCCAGAGATGGAAATAGTGCCCACACCGTTGTGCTGAACAACCTTATCCTTCGCGCCCTTCGCGCCACCACCGGAGACAGTGCTATCGCCATCACCCTTGAAGGACAGAGCGTCCTCGCAGACTGCTTCCCACCAGACGTTTGTAATCGTGCAGGCACCAGCGCAGTGCACGCCCTCAATCTGGTCAGCGCCGATGATGACGTTGGAGAGGGAGCCGCCGTCTGCGACGATGAAGACGGCGTCGCTGTCGCCGCCTTCGCCGGAAGAGCAGGACACGCCTCGGCCAAATTTCACCATGCCGCCGTCGAAGTCGGTGACTTCCATGGGGGCTGAGAGAGTGGATTCGCCAGCGGCGGTGGGGAAGGTGCCGGATGCGCTTGAGTCGCCGCTGCTGGGCGTGCTGGGGGTGGTGGAGTTGGAGCTGCCGCCTGAGGAACTACCGCCAGAGCCAGATGACGAGTCCTCATCACCGGATCCCGAAGAAGAATCTTCATCACCAGAGCCAGAAGAAGATTCCTCGTCGCCGGAGTCAGAGCCCGACGAGGTCTCTTCGTCCCCAGATCCAGAAGATGTGTCCTCATCTCCAGATCCTGAAGAAGTCTCTTTATCTCCGGAGCTGGAGTCGTCGGAGGTGCTCTCGTCACCTCCACTGGTTTCCTTATCATCCGAGCTGCTCTCTTCCTTGTTCTTGGTGTCCCCGGTGTCCTCGGAGGAGTCGCTGGAATCGCCAGAATCGCTGGAGTCGTCCTTAGAATCAGAATCAGAGTCGTCTGATTTGGCCCTGGAAATGCCAACGAACTTGCTAGTCGCAGAAGACGGCAGTTCGAAAGGAACGGTGCTCAGATCAGCACCACCAGTTGGGAGTGCCGACGGTGCAGCAGTCCAAGCAGGACCAGATGGCTTGCCACTGAAGTCAGGAAGACCAGTTGGGGCAGCAGTGCCGCGGGAGCCAAAGGCGCTGGATGGGAAAGTGCCATCGGAGTAGCGACCACGGCCGGCTCCCTTGCCGCCCTGCTCCTCGGTATCGGTGCTGTTGCGACTTTCGCCGTGGCCTCTGTGTGGTGCGGCTGAGGCCGAGAAGATGAGTGCTGCGGTGGCGATGGTTGCGAGACTGAAGCGCATGATTGCTGCTGGATCGACTTGTAGAAGAGTGTGCAAGAGTTGAAAACGAAGAAGTCTTCGCACAGCAAATGAGAGACTTGAAGAACAAAAGATTGTGGCTAGCACAGAGCTGAAGTGAAAGATCGTACAGAAGGGACCTGCACAGGAAAAGATGAAGAAGAGTTGTTGATGCTGATGATGGACAACAGACGCATGATGCCAGAGTACCTTTATACCTACCTTCGACTGCACAAACAACTCACTCGAAACAAGGCGCATATGCCAAGTTGTCGGTGGTGGTCTACTCGTGGGAGCCTCTAGCTGAATGGTGCCATGCACATATTGATCGGTATGTTGAATCGATCAAACTGATGTCTTGGCATCCCAAGTGCCTGAGTGGAAAGCGTGGTATCGTACGTATGCGCCAAGAACGTTTGAGAGTGATAAGCAGCGGGATATCGAAAACAGAACGTTGTTGTTTCGGACGTTGTTCGATTCAGTGAGGGTGGAGGGCTAAGATGATCGACGTCTGGTCGAGCACTCAATGAGAGGAAAACGCGCGTTTCAACACAAGGGTTGCTGAGCTTGGCTTGGTACAAACGGATTGACGAGAGCAGGCATTGAAGATGCAACAGCGGAGACAGGCGTGGTTGACAGCTCTGAAGCTATTGTTTCACGGCGGAGGTAGTTTCATGAAAGCTCCGCATAGCGAGAACTCTTGGCTGAAGCGCATGATCATGCACGATTCGGTCTTATGGAGTACAATTGGCTTGTTTGTTGACTCGTAATAGCTATAGATGATACTCATCGACTCGATGGCGTTCACGGTGGGCGGGATTGTAGCTGGGCGTCATGCTATGCGTCCTATAACGTCAATAACGCCTGAGGCAACAATGCTCAGACACTCAACCGGCAATGCAAGCGGCAGTCACGCCCTAAGGTTGGCAAAGATAGAAGGATGATGTCGTGCGTTTAGATGTGGCCAGCGCTGAGAGTCGCAACTTCCTCCTCGATAACGAGTCTGTCTCGATGAATCCCAATTGCTGGTCAGATTTCATATTGGAGGATACTTTCAACAGCGATCATAACCAGAAGGTTCTCGCAGTTGCTTTGAGTGCTCCGTTGTCTACTTTCGTGGTTGATGAGTCAATACCGGCCACATGCTTGTTGTGTGGCGCGTGCTTGTGTACTGCGGCTTCACTGCTGCCACGCATCATGTCTGCTCTTGCACGTGCAGTGAGTCTATCATAGCGACTCGGCAGCTACCGACGGTATCTGAGCGATGTTGCAAAGGTACTTTCCGTGCAGCTGCTGATCGGTGGTGGTGTTGGTCGAGTCTTCACAAGCGCAATAAATTTTCTACTTTCTACACCTCGGCTCGGCTAGTTCAGCTGCAGCTTCAGGATGACGTCTTGTCGGGTGTCACAGCGGATCCGTCTCCGCGAAGGCCATCATGAGAGCTTTCCCCGCGTTTCTGTATCCTCTTGTCGGAGTGCATCTCCTTGATCAAGTTGGAGTTGTTTCTTGAATGATTCCTGTCGGTCCATCGGCAGCACCATCAAGATGAGCAGTTACACATACATCTACAACTCGCAGCTGGTGAGCTCCGATCACGTCAACACCAGAGCCCAGCTAACGCGTATAGGATGCGTTCTCCCTGTACCACCTCACCCACGAGCAGGCGACAAAGCCCAGCGCTCTGGGTCCCGCCTTGCCGGCGCTCGGTCACGCAACGTCCGGCGCATTAGGAACGGCCGTCTCGAAGCTCATCACATACCCTCTCGACCTCGTCGTTACGCGGCTGCAAGTGCAGAAGCAGCTCCAGGGCGAGAACGAGCGGCCGAGGTACAATGGCATCCTCGATGCCATCGAGAAAATCTACGAGCGCGAAGGAGGACTGTCGGCCTTCTACAATGGCATGCCGCACGAGGTGTTCAAGGGCGTCACGGACAGCTTTCTGTTCTTCCTCGCATATTCGTATGTGAGGCAGAGTCGGCTGGCCGCGAACGGTGGACGCAAGAGCCTGGGAGCTATGGAAGAGATTGGTGTGGGTGTGGTGGCCGGCGCCTTCTCCAAGCTCTGCACGATGCCCATCCAGAACATCGTCACCAGGAAGCAGACAGCAGCAATGACGGCACTCGAAGGAAGCACAGGCATACCACCAGCCTCAAGCACACGAGACATTGCGTATGAGATCAGGAAGGAGAAGGGATTGCAGGGCTTCTGGTCAGGCTACTCCGCCAGCCTCATACTGGCGCTCAACCCATCTCTCACCATGCTGCTGCACAAAGTGCTGTTGCGACTCCTAGTATCGCAGGGCAAAAGTGATGACCCCGGCGCACGCGTCACGTTCCTCATCGCGGCGACGAGCAAGGCATTGGCCTCCACCATTACCTACCCGTTCCAGCTTGCTAAGACACGGGCTCAGGTCTCGTCCCAGAAGCCTACTGAGGTCACTGGTGAGACATCAGAATTCGAAAAGGCAGAGAAGCCATTGAGGTCGAAGGCTATCCGTGCCAGACAGCGTACTGTGTTCGCTACTGTTTTACGCATTGCACAGACCGAAGGCTTCGCGGGCTTGTACCAGGGTCTTGGTGGAGAAGTGCTGAAAGGCTTCTTTTCGCATGGTATCACGATGCTGATGAAGGAGCGTATTCACGCCGTCATCATCAACCTGTACTATGCGGTCTTAAAGTCAATGGAGAAGTTCCCTAGCCCTGAGGAGCTCAAGCAGATGGCAGCGGACAGCATCGAAGATGGCAAGGAGCGGGTGGGTGATACCTACACGAAGGGCGTTGAGGTTGCTGGACAAGCGGCTGAGAAGATTCAGGACGCAGTTGCACAGGGATCTGAGCAGGCCCAAAACCTATACGAGAGCGGCAAGGAGCAGGTCGGCGAGGCATATAACAGGGCCACCGAGGCAACGCAGTCTGCAACGTCGACTGCACAAGACGCAGTGAGCAGCGGTTCGCAGAAGGCGCAAAGCCTGGCAGAAGCTGGAAAGGAGCAGGCTCGCGGAGTGTATGCGAATGCCGCCGAGACAGCACAATCCGTAACATCAGCTGCACAAGAGCAAGCGAGTGGAGCATACAAGAAAGCAGCTGAAGCAGCTGAGTCGGTCACGTCAACAGCGCAGAGACAGGCCAGCGACGCATATAACAAGGCAAGCGACGCAGCACAGTCCGCGACCTTGACTGCCCAGGACCCGGCCAGCGGTTCGTACGCAAAGGCGACCGAGTCAGTAGAGTCAGCATCCTCAACAGCACGGGGACAGGCTAGCGAGGTTTACAACAGGTATACCCAAGCAGCAGACTCAACGACATCCAGCGCCCAGCAAGCCGCCAACACTGGATCGCAATCTGACAGTCTGGTAGAGAAGGGCAAGGAGATCGCAAACAATGCTCAAGAGCAGTCGAGGGACATCGCAGACACATATGGTAAACACGAGTAATGGTTTAAGCAAGGATGGACAGCAGCAGATTGCACATATACCCAGGTTTTCTTCTCACATGTATACGGTGGTTTCATGAAGGTGATTGGGATCCCATGACCGTTGGCAGCAGCCTAACGTTGAAAATTGCATGTGACGCCCAAGGTTGTAATGATTCACACCAGGAATATGGCTTTCTGATGGAGACAGTTGAAACGCAGATTTGGCGAGAGTGTCGTGAACACCTCCAGCCTGGGTCTTGGATCCACGAACATGCAGCCGTACCTTCCTCCGTTGGGAGGGGGGGGAGGGGGGGGGGCGTATCGATAGCAGTTGCAGCCAGCCGTTTTACCAGCCCCCATTCGTGCAGCCACAACCAGGATGCTAGCGCGCACGGGTCGCTGGGGACAACAGCGCGACCCTCTCAAACATCACCGCCATCTGCCAACACACACCCCGCCCACCTCACTGACGGATGCGATTAACTACTAATCTCCACAGGGACAGGGACACTGACATTACGGCGCCGCTGCGACAGGGACCAGCGGCCAGAAGATTTGCATCTGGCAACGGTGCGCGATCGTCGTCACAACACGCCGATTCGCTGCTGAAACAGTCAACAGCTTTGACAGCAGAAGAAGCAGGAACGACCCCGCCTGCTCTCTCGCGTCACACCTCTCGCTACCACTGCGCGCAGTACCATACTGTGTCTGCCAATCACTCCGAAGATTCACCAGGGCGCTAGTTTCACCACCCCGCCCAGCCAACGCTGCGCGCTCTTTCCTGAAGCCCCCCCCCCCCTGCGGTCGACGCCGCAAACCGTCCTGCCACCATGGTAGGAGCGGAGACGCCACCTTCGCCTCCGCCTCGGGGCAGCGGTTTTGGCAGCTTGCAGGAGGAACTGGACTACTACAAGACTGCGTACGAGACGCTCGACGCAGAGCTGCAGGAGTTCCAGTCGTCCAGCAAGGAGCTAGAGGCCGAGCTCGAGCGCGATGTCGAAGAGAGCGAGAAGCGGGAGCGCAAACTGCAGGAGAAGGTGGAACGGCTGGGCTTCGAGGCTGAGGAGTGGAAGGTATGTTCTCCACGACCATGGCGGTTGCTTTACTACGTTCAGGGGAGCGGGCAGCTGACCAGCACTGCAGACCAAGTACAAGCAGAGCAAGACGGAAGCCAACAGCGCGCAGAATATCCTTCAGAAGGAGATTACCAGCCTGCGCGATGCGCAGCGAACACTGCAGCTCAGGCTCCGGGACATGGAAGTCCAGAACGACGACTTCGAGCGGCAGACCCGCAACCAGACCTCGTCGCTCGAGGACATTGAGACAAAGTACAACGTGGCAATCGAGCGGGAGGTCATGCTGGAGGAAGAGATCAAGATAGGGGAGCGAGAGCGAGAAGGACTACGTATTGAGACTCAGCGACTTCGGGACGAGCTGTCAGATCTGAAGATCGAGTCGGAGATCACACAGGAGAAGCTGCGACTGGCAGAGGCTACCATCGAGAAACACCACCAGCGCACTGTTTCGAACCACTTGGCGAAGGACTCTCTGACATTGCGACCGCGCTCACCCATGTCAGAAGCTTCCACCACTAACACAAACCTCTCTTCGCCGACCGCAGCATCCACCCCACCGTATATGCAGTCGGATGCTCTGCGTCCAGACTCAACGCCGCCCTCACCACCACTGTCCGATGCGCCCCTTGCGATACGCCCAATACCCTTTACGTCCCCCCTACCCACAAGGAAAGCCTCAATTGCGTCGCGCGACCCAGCTGCTACGCCGAGAGCGGGAACATTCGCCCGTCCACGCCACGCACGTGGGCCGAGTGTTTCTGGAATACCTGCACAAGGTGCTGCAGGCGGCGGCGGTCGACGCACGCCTTCAGTCATGCGCCCCCCCAGCGCTGTACCAGGACAGCGGCCAACTCGACCCAGTATCGGGGGCAATACGTCGGCAACTGGTCTGCCAAGGTCTGGCTCTCTTTACCAGATTCGAGGACTGATTGGCAAGATGCAGAAGCTCGAAGAACGAGTACACTCAGCACGCTCAAAGCTGCCGGCACCCACGTCCACACCTCCACGAGCGAGCCCTCGAGCTCCGAGCGCAGCGGGCAACTACCTACCAACTTCAGTCTCAATCAGGAAACGTGCGTCACAGGCGTCGACCTCAGCCTCTTCCGTTCAAGACATCGCGAGTGGTGGTGGTGTAGGCCGGCTCTCATTCGGTGTGCCCTCAAATGCAAGCAACAGTCGACCCAGCAGCCGAGCGTCCATGTCATCCACACCTCAACTACCGAGACCCACGAGCAGACCCAGTCCAGTAACCAGAAGCAGTACCACGCGCACACCTGGCACGCGAACACCTGGATCGCGCACTCCAAGCACACGCACACCCAATACACGAAACCCGCTGGGCCACTACTCGTCAGCGTCGATGAGCGGCCGAATAGGAAAGGCCCCTCCTCCGATTCTGCACCTTCACGAAGGACGACAGTTTGGCCGCACATCTCTGAATAGGCATCCGAGTGACCACGGCCATTCACAGTCTCTGTCCATATCGCGAAGCGACACAGGCAGCGACGAGGGCGATGAGAGTGAGATTAAGACGCCCGTAGGGCGACGTCTGACTATGGAGAGGAGCGGTATTCCCACACCAGGTAGCGCGCTTCCAAGGAGGACAAGTGTGGGAAGGAGGATAAGCGCAAGCATGGATGGTGGCATGGGCCCTCCGGTGCGTCCACGGAAGATGTCGACGTATGAGGAGGAGACGTACTAGGCTTGCGTGCTTTACCAGTATTTGATTGGAGGCGTTTATACCTTAGGGCTAGCATGGATTTGGCGTTGGAGCATTGGGCGTTACGCAGGTACCAGCATCATAGGGTGGCACTTGTGCATAGCGTGAAGAGGGGGAATGCAGGGAAGAGCAGGCCATGTGCTGAACCATGGCAATTACATATCACTTAGATACCAATACCATCCCCTTTGTCAATACCCATGTCTAGTTGAAGCTCTGCATAACGGACCTGGGTGGCTGGTGCAGTACTTTAGCCTTAACCGTGGGTGCGCCTTCCAGCTTAGGACCTGGTACCTCTCGCCAACACTGCACGCTTGCACTCGCTGATATATTCAGTTTGCCAGTCCACCTGCGCACTTCATGCTTCTTCTCTCTTACATCTCCGTCCCTCCAGGCCCCTTTCGTCTACGATCGTGCTGCCGCAGCTATCTTACTCCATCGAGCGTGCGAATCACAATGGCCAAAAAGGCGTTCAACTTACAGTGTCCAAGTGACCATCCCTCGATCACAATGCCAGGACGACCTTTCTGACACAAGCACACAGGCATTTATGATGGATTGGGACATCTCCTCGTGCACTCAAACTTCGCTGTGGAGCCAGTCGGGTTGGGGCCACTTTCACATGCAAATGACACCCGACTCGAGAAGCGCCTACAACTCCAGTTTCCTGAACGCGAACAACGAAGAAGAACACTTCTCCCACAAGCGCCAATCAGCCAGACATCTGCGATGGGTAGCGGACCGGACCATTTCACCCTCCATTCCTGCTCTCCAAGGCGTAAAGCGCCCACGTGCTCGAGCCGCACGAGAGGCCTCAGCATTCACTTTGAAGTCGCATCAGAATTACAGCAATCTAAGGCGATCTCACGGCTTCGAAGACGTCGAAATAAGCTCAGGAACCGTTCGGCGCACAGTCGACTTCCAGGATAGCCTACCGTGGTGTTGCGGGTGGTCCAAGACCTGGGGAGGGGAAAAAATCGTACGATTTGTCTGACATGTGAAAGGCACATGCAGCGGACCGTACCGGCGCCCACCCCCAAGGCCAGCGAACCCTGGATTTGGTGCATTGCCCCGTGTTTCGTTCGGTATGGTCGGAATGCAGCTCGGAACTAGCTGCAGGTGCTTATCTGACGTATGTGGTGTTGTTGAGCACCGTGGTGTTTGGTGAAGGCCGCGACGTTGCGCGCAGCCCTCAAGCTCGCTGCGCTCGAGCGCACTCCACGCAGCGCCTATAAGTACTCAGACGCCGGCTCCGACACCACACGCCGGCTTAGACGTGCGACCATCTCTCAACGTCATGTACAAATATAGCAGCCTCATATATTTATTGACTGTCTGAGGACACTTCCGAAGCGGACAAGTCAGGCGCTGATTGGGTGAGCAGCCGGAGTCCGAGAGTCGGTCGGTGGAGGAGAGCCGAGTGCGCAACAACCACGGTACATCTTGGGAAACTCTTGTAAGCTGACAGCGAGGCTTGGAACACGATTACAGGAGACAAAATCACATCAACTCAACAGGCAGAAGGGTGCCTATCTATGTTCGCTGCAGAGGCATTGCGTGCGCGCGGACGATAACGAGCAGGAGCGCATTGTTGAGGATGCGGGGGAGAGGGCAGCATGCTTGGGAGCGGAGCAGCGGCAGCCTGGAGGCCACTGAGCAGCTGCTGAGAGATAGCGAGGGCTCAACCGCCTCTTTGTATGGAACGTGAGGATTGGTGTTGGGGTGACGCGCAGTGCTCGCGACCAGGGACTAATGCGGAACATTTCCCAACAGTTGGCATCCTGGACGAGCCTCCCAGGCTCCATACTCAGGACACCGAGCACTCCCTGCACAGCGAGCCAGGAAGCAATTGCGGCAGACGTTGCACTGGAAGCTTCTTTTCGGCCATCTCGCGGCGGCCGAGACGTCTGTGCCGTTTGTCGGAAGAATCAGGACAGGGGTGTCTGTGGTGTCTGTGGTGGTCGATGGGCGGTGATGGAGGGTCCTGTTTTGGGGCTAAGGCTGTCTTCGGCATCGTGGGCGATAGGCCTCAGCTCAACAGCTCGGGATGAGCTTGGGGTGTTCCGTGATGGGCCAAAGGGCCATGTCAGTGCTTTGCGGGCTTTACGGGCAGATCAAAAATTTAACACAGACACGTCTCCCGGCGCTGCGTCTCCTGCTTCTGCTTCCTCCCATCCCACACCCTCTCATTGCCCTCCCGCAGTGAGATTTCCCATCACAACCTTTTTTGACTACTTGCACTCGACTGCGAGTAGTGTGTCAGGCTCTTCGTTACAAGCTGCTGCTCCCTCCCGGCACCGGCACGTAATAGAACGGGTGTTGGAAGGTCGAGTACTGAGAATTGTACACCGGCTCCACTCTACACACACTACCATCTACCAAATTCCTCCTCTGTCCGGACGCTCCCACCGGTCAGCTCCCTCAACTCCTCACGAGACCTGTAGTTTTTTTTTTGTTGCAACTGCAGCTCCGCCGTGCTTCTTCTCCCCGCCCAGAGACGCTGCGCACCGGGCTTGATCTACAGACACTAGGCCGAGCTCCAGCTCCCTTGTCGTAGGTTATAAAAATTGCCCGACTCCTCACCGACCCAGACGCTGTACGCCTCCCCCTCACACCCAGTTCACCCCCTCCCCCCCACCACCCCCACGCGCACCTCCCAGCGGCAGGGGACGAATTGCAGATCCCACGACAGACATGGCGAGCGCTGCACCCAACGGCGCCAACGGCAGCGATGCCAATGGCGCGCCGAGCAGCTACGCGGCCCAGTTCGATCTGGCGCCGCACTTCATCGGCGGCAACCAGCTGAGCGCCGCCGCGCCGGGCAAGGTGAAGGACTTTGTGGCCGCCCACGACGGCCACACGGTCATCACCAACGTGCTCATTGCGAACAACGGCATTGCGGCCGTCAAGGAGATCAGGAGCGTGCGCAAGTGGGCGTACGAGACGTTCGGCGATGAGCGGGCCATCCAGTTCACCGTCATGGCGACGCCCGAGGACCTGCAGGCCAACGCCGAGTACATCAGGATGGCCGACCAGTACGTCGAGGTGCCCGGCGGCACCAACAACAACAACTACGCCAACGTCGAGCTGATTGTCGACGTGGCGGAGCGGATGAACGTGCACGCGGTGTGGGCGGGGTGGTAAGCATATCTCTCTACCTACATGGGATCACAGGGATCGCAGCGATCGCTAACTCTCGATGCAGGGGCCATGCGTCCGAGAACCCCAAACTGCCCGAGTCGCTCGCGGCATCCCCCAAGAAGATCGTCTTCATCGGCCCGCCCGGGTCCGCCATGCGCTCGCTCGGCGACAAGATCTCGTCCACAATCGTCGCGCAGCACGCGCAGGTGCCCTGCATCCCATGGTCCGGCACCGGCGTCAATGAGGTCGAGGTGGACAGCGCGGGCATCGTGACGGTCAAGGACGACGTCTACGAGAAGGGCTGCACCAAGAGCTGGGAGGAGGGCCTGGTGGCGGCGAAGAAGATCGGCTTCCCCGTCATGGTCAAGGCGTCCGAGGGCGGCGGCGGCAAGGGCATCCGCAAGGTCGAGCGCGAGGAGGACTTCGAGCAGCTGTACAAGGCCGCCGCGTCCGAAATCCCCGGCTCGCCCATCTTCATCATGAAGCTCGCCGGCAGCGCGCGCCACCTGGAGGTCCAGCTGCTGGCTGACCAGTACGGCAACAACATCTCGCTCTTTGGCCGCGACTGCTCCGTCCAGCGCCGTCACCAGAAGATCATCGAAGAGGCGCCCGTCACCGTCGCCGGGTCCAAGACGTTCCAGGAGATGGAGAAGGCCGCCGTCTCGCTCGGACGGCTGGTCGGCTACGTGTCTGCGGGTACGGTCGAGTACCTGTACTCGCACTCGGACGACAAGTTCTACTTCCTCGAGCTGAACCCGCGTCTGCAGGTCGAGCATCCCACCACCGAGATGGTCACGGGCGTCAACCTCCCAGCCGCCCAGCTCCAGATCGCCATGGGCCTGCCCCTCCACCGCGTGCGCGACATCCGCCTGCTGTACGGCGCCGACCCCCACACCAGCTCGCAGATCGACTTCGACTTCTCGACTGCCGGCAGCGCCCAGAACCAGCGTCGCCCCACCCCCAAGGGCCACTGCACCGCCTGCCGTATCACGTCCGAAGACCCCGACGAGGGCTTCAAGCCGTCTGGCGGTACCATCCACGACCTGAACTTCAGGAGTAGCTCCAACGTCTGGGGCTACTTCTCCGTCAGCTCGGCTGGTGGTATCCACAGCTTCTCCGACTCGCAGTTCGGTCACATCTTCGCGTACGGCGAGAACCGTCAAGCGTCGCGGAAGCACATGGTTGTCGCGCTCAAGGAGCTGAGCATTCGCGGTGACTTCCGCACCACCGTCGAGTACCTCATCAAGCTGCTCGAGACCCCGGCTTTCGAGGACAACACCATCACCACCGGCTGGCTCGATGAGCTCATCACCAAGAAACTGACTGCTGAGCGCCCAGACCCTATGATCGCCGTTATTTGCGGTGCTGTCACCAAGGCTCACGTTGCGTCTGAGGCGTGCATCAGCGAATACAAGACATCTCTCGAGAAGGGTCAGGTGCCTTCAAAGGAGGTCCTGAAGACCGTGTTTCCCATCGACTTCATCTACGAGGGCTTCCGGTACAAGTTCACAGCGACTAGGTCCACCCTCGACAGCTTCACGCTCTTCATCAACGGCTCCAAGGTGTCCGTTGGTCTGCGCGCGCTCGCCGACGGCGGTCTCTTGATTCTGCTCGGTGGAAAGTCGCACAACGTGTACTGGAAGGAGGAAGTTGGTGCCACCCGTCTCTCCGTAGACGGCAAGACCTGTCTCCTCGAGCAGGAAAACGACCCCACTCAGCTCCGCACCCCGTCTCCCGGTAAGCTTGTCAAGTTCACTGTGGAGAACGGCGCACACATTGCCAAGGGCCAGCCTTTTGCTGAGGTCGAGGTCATGAAGATGTACATGCCTTTGATCGCACAGGAGGCTGGTATCGTCAACCTCATCAAGCAGCCGGGAGCTACGCTCGAGGCCGGTGACATTCTTGGTGTCCTAGCCCTGGACGATCCATCCAAGGTCAAGTCGGCTCAGAACTTCCTCGGCCTTCTCCCTGACATGGGTACACCCCAGGTTATGGGTAGCAAGCCCCCGCAGAGGCTTGCTTACCTGTCTGGTGTTCTGCAGAACATCCTCCAG